GGGTTTAGGGGTTTCAGGGTTTAGGAAGTAGGGTTTCAGGGATTTTGGGTTTCAGACTTCAGGTTTCAAGAATTTAGGGTTTCGGGAGTGGGTTTGGAGTTTCGGGGTTCAGGGTTTGGGGGATAAGGTTTAGCTTGTCGGGGTTCAGGGTTTCACTGTTTCTTCAGGGTTCTTAGGGTTTAGGAACTAGCAACAAGCAGTCGCAGCCAAGGGAAGCCAGAACACGAAGCCCAAGTGCCCTGAATCGCAAATCCTACAACTCGGCAACTGGGTCCTTGTTGGCTACAATTTTACAGTTTTTGCTATAATACAGCCGTTAAGGATTAAAGATGATGATTTTAAATATAGCCCCAACAGGAAACCAGTGAAGGTTCCCCAGCTGGTACTGGGTTCACTTTTAAAAACTACAAGGTAACCTAGATGTCTACGCACGAAGCCCTAAGCCCAAAGCCTACATCGGCGAGCTTTCGGATGAGTAGAAGACCTGGCTTTCAAGAACAAGCCCTGGATCCCCGAAGCACTAAACCCTGATTAAGTAGGGTTTAGGGTTTTGGGTTTAGGGTTTAGGGTAGGGTTTAGGGTTAGGCTGTAAGCTTCAGGGTGTAGGATTAGGAGAGAACCGTTGTGTGCAGCGACCTTGGTTTCAATAATTAGGCGTGCAAGGTGTCTTTGGGGATGCATAATCGTATCGGGGCTATCAAAAATGGGCTGTGGTTTTGTGGCCAGGACTGCAAGGGGATACTACGCCTGGAGGCGCCCAGCTACGCTATAATCTCGCCCAAAACCATGTCAATCTATCTTTTACCCTCAGCAAAGGCTTACGAGGCCTTCATGAGGAAGAAGGAACAAGAAGTGCTAGAGTGCCGACGCCTGGTGTAAGCAACAGATTCAGGTTTCAGTGATTAGGATGTAAAGAGTAAGGTATAGGATTTACGATCTGGGGTCTAGGTTTTGGTTTAGGGTTTAGGGTTTAGGAATGAGGGTTTCCGGTTTAGGGTTTAGGGTCCAGGTTTTGGTTTAAGGCGCTTGGATTCTTAGATTCTTTCATCGGGGGGGGGCGGGGTGAGTGTTTTGCGGGGTAGGGGTCACCTCAGAGCAACCTGCTTTCAACCGCTGCTCTTGAATCCAACATCCTAAACCATGAACCCTGAGACTCTAAATTCAGAAACCCTTTCCGGACATCTTGCATCCTGAGTCTAATAGAATTTCGGGGGGAAGCTTAGAGTTTAGGGTTTAGGAGTTAGAGGTTAGGCTGTGGGGTTTATAACCTTTTGCCTCTTCCGCTGTACCAGAATCCCTTTGTAATCCCGACGGTTAGCCTTTAGTTCCCCTGGCCGAAACCCTGAACCGTTACGGTTCATGGTTTAGGCTTCAAGCTTAAGGGTTTAGGGTTTAGGGCTGTAGGCTTTAGAGTTTCGGGTTTAGGGCTTACGGCTTTAAGCTTCAGGGTTTAGGCTTCAGGCTTTAGGGTTTAGGGCTTCAGGGCTTTAGGGCTTTAGGCGGCTTGTATCTTGGGGGCGGGAGGGCCGCTCCCTGAAGCGCTCGGGCACTGACACACTGCTGTGTTCTGCCTGTTGTTGACATGGTGTTTTGTATGGGTTAGGCTTAGGGTTTAGGGAGTGAGCGGGGGGAAGAAATACCGTGAGACGCTTGCAGAAGACTGTCTAGGTGCTGCTGTTCTTGCAAACTCCGCCGCGACGCTTTCACGCTCTGACAGCAATTCATGGTATTTCCCCAGCTGCCTCTCCGAGGTTGATCGTAAACCCTAAACCCCTTAACCCCTAAACCCCTAAACCCTAAACCCTAAACCATAGTGAGAGTGACTCGAAACATGGAAGAAGTTGCTTAGCAAGCTGAGTCCCATAGCCTTCTAGCAGCCATCCTGGCAAGTAAGACCCCTATACTATGCTTGTATAGCCAGGCAGAGTACTGCAGGGCTTTAGGGATTATATGGGCCCGAATTTTTAGATCTACTAGGGTCTTTGGGCTTTAAACTTGCTTTGCATCTTCCTCGAATGGTGGAGATTAGGCCTTTGGCACTAAACACGTGTTTTTGTACGTCAATCTCCGTGGCTCTTTGGGAGGAGTGCGCATTGAGATTTACGATATTCGTTTTAAGTGGGGGGGGTACTAGCAAAGCAAAGCCGAACTTGCCATGAAGCCTTCTATACGGGCCTGAATAATTAGAATAGGCTTTTGGGGTCTGTGATACTATAATTATAATAAGGAACCCCCAGCATAATATAGGTAGTTATGTAGGCCCCTACATTACGTTGGAGAATGCTATTTGTATAATCAGGACCCCCCCCAAAAAACAAAAACTATTCTGATTATTCCCTAAACCCTAAACCCTAAACCCTAAACCCTATCAAAGGCCCTACAGTAAACTGCAGCCTAAATCCTGGGTCGTCAACCCCGAAGCCTTAGACTCCCTCAGCCCCAAGCCCTAAAACCTTAAAGCCCTAAAACCCTGAAGCTCTAAGCCCTAAGCCCTAGAGCCCTAGATCCCCAAAGCCCTAAAGCCCTGAAGCCCTAAAGCCCTAAACCCTAAAACCTTAAGCCCTAAGCCCTAAGCCCTAAAACCCTGAAGCCCTCAACCCTCAACCCTAACACCTTAACACCACGTCGCCGACCTTTCCAGTGTTCATTATTATGAGTCCTGAAAAGGTAAGTTATTCAGGGGTCGGGTAGACCCAAACCCCAAGCTCAGGAGGAAGAACCAAGAGGGCCTACAAACCCTAAACCCTAAACCCTAAACCCAAACCCCTAAACCCTAAACCCTAAACCCCAAACCCCTAAACCCTAAACCCTAAACCCTAAGCCCTAAGCCCTAACCCCCAAGCTCAGGAGCGAGGATCAAGAGGGCCTACAAGTCGACGAAAGGGCGCAAGACTCCGACGCCTGGACATCAACTGGCGGGTTGATATAGGGCTTATTTAGGGTTGGGTTTGGGGCTTAGGACGGTCAACGAGGGGGTTTAGGGATTCAGTGTTTTTTCTCAATAAAAGGTTGACGGTAAGGTCTGTAGGATTCAGGGTGTCGGGCTTCAGGTGTCTTTTCTGTGCAGGTTTTTCGGCTGTAGAGACCTAAACCCTAAACCCTCAACCCTAAACCCTAAACCCTAAACCCTAGAGAGTTCGGAGCTTAGGATTCAGGGGGTCGGGTGTCTAGGGCCTACAGGTTTCTTGTTTCGGAGTTTCGGTGGCTACTGTTAGCTTTTAGGGTTTAGTGTTTAGGGTTTAGGGTTTAGGGTTTAGGGTTTAGCTAACTACTTTGCTTTCGCTGGTCCTTTTGTACGGATCTCCATCTAAGGCGTTTTGAGGGTGATGCACGGCTTTGCTTGATTTGGTTGTGGGTTTAGGGTACAAATTATTTTCTTCTTGAATCCGCAAACATGCAGAACGCCTACCGAAGAGAAGAGAATACAGTAAATTGTAAAGGCGAAGTTACTGCGCCTTAAGAGGTCCTAAAGCCTACAGCCCTGATTTGGTGGAGGATTCGGGGACGCAGTAGGTGGGCTGAGAAGTAGTCTCACATGCCGCATCTGAGAGTCTTGTCGTGCTTGTGTTGATTGGCAGTGACTTGCCCGAGGGCAAAGAAGGGATTGCCGTCAATGAGGGGTTTAACCCTAAACCCTAGACCCTATATAACCCTAAACCCTAACCCTTAAACCCCCTATAACCCTAAACCCTAAAGCCCCTATAACCCTCAACCCTATATAACCCTATATGACCCTAAACCTTAAACCCTCTATAACCCTCAGCCCTGTATAACCCTATATAACCCTAAACCCTGAGCCCTAAACCTTGAACCCTCTCAGGGCGTAGGGTTTAGGGCTGGAGGAGCCCGGCTGGGCAGGTTTGGCGCCCTTCAGCTCCGAAAGGAAGCTTTCGATGCTCTCTACTCAGAGGTTTGGGTTTAGGGTTTAGG